AGATAGATAGATAGATAGATAGATAGATATTTATTTTTTTTTTGCCTGCATTAAGCCTCGACCAGTTTTTGCTGTTGCACGAATATGTTGTAAATATTTGTTATAAATAAAGATTTTTTGGAGAAAAAAATCATCATCAGAGCTGAACAGCAAAGGCTGCGTTCCATTCTGAAATATTTAAATGAAATATTTAAATGTAGCTACATGTCAACATTTACCCACACTAGACTGTCATTTAACATTTAAATTTAACATTTAGTAAAAAATAGTTAAATGTAAGAACAGTGAGCTAAATAACGATAAAGTGTTAGTGACATTTTTAACTAGGATTTTACACTCAGAAAGTGAGTTAAAAATAATGAAAATGTGTTAGTAACACTTTTAACATTTTATTTTTCACCRCATATGTAAAAACATTCATACATTTGTGCTTTGCTGACAGTGTTCACCTTGGTTTCCAGCACTTCTAGTATCTTCTTTTTGGCTTCCGTAACATTGGCTCTTTTCCCTTCCACCTTAACATGTGGATCTAGATGTTAAAATGGATATTAGTGTCAAACAATCCCTTTTATTTCCTTTTTTTTGTCAAGAAAATCAGTTTGTGTGAAAATGTGCAGTCCATGTGACAGGGTGGTGGTACACATTTATAAAAAATAAAATAAAAATAGTAAGCAGAGAGTGTGACCTAATTGTTGAAGGATTACACTTCTCTGCCTCTCCAGAGAAGTTTACTACAGGGTGTTCTAGAGCAGCTGGTCTTCCACTTGATAAGAGATGGCTAAAGTGGTTTGGGCATCTAATTAAGATACATTGTCATTTTTTATGCATGGAAAGAAGACCAGAGCAATTTAGCTCTCTGAAGGGATCATGTTTTTTTTTTCTTATATAAATTGGCATCTCTCTCCTGAACCTGTTGCCTCTGGCTCCAATCATGAGAATTTGGTTTTAAAAAAAGAATAATTGAAAGAAGGAAAAGAAATATTTTTTATTTCGAATAAAGAACATTTTTCACCCTTTTTTGATTTGGCTCCTATCTTCAGCTTGGACGGCCATTTCACCTGAGTTTTAGTTTCTCTCATTACCTGCAGAAGAAACAGAACAGGTGCAGRCATTGTATGCACAGACGTCCAAACACACAGAAGATTTAAGAAGACAATGCTCCATTTGCATTTTAAAGCTTGCAATCATCGCCTCCATAAAAGTGCAATGACTCCATGCAGATTTTCGAACAAACACTGAAGCTGTTTTCACTGATCTGTGAGCTAAATTTAACCTGTAGACTTTTAGCACCAGTGATTACCACAGAGGAGAGAAAATTACTTTTCTTTGTTCTCTTGTCTTTGAGTTAACTGATAAAACAAAATGATCGACTCACTCTCTCAAAAAACTCTTCTCCTGTCTCTCCATCTTCTTGTTTAGGAGCTGAAAGACAAAGAGAAATAAAAAAAAAACAGCTCAAATTTCAAATCTGCAAACATAAGATAGATTTATCTGCAGAAGCTGTGTTTGTCAGCAGCTTTGTTGCACAAGTTTTCAGCATCAAACCCATCTGTGTAAACCTGTTCTGTGCTGACTCGGTTGAAATTGACCAAGGGAGTGAAACAAGAGGTTGCTTGAAACATAAACAAATTTAAAAGGCCATCGCTCCATGGTGACATTTAAAGGGTTTGCTGGAGAGGTGGGGCTTTCGGGAATGCCTCCCCGGCCTTTCCTCATCATCACTATGGGTTACGCTGCCCGGAGCTGAAGAATGGGAAGAGAACAGTGAGGTGGAGCGAGAAAGAAGGTGGTGGTTTGGGAAGACAACCACAAATTAAGCTCGAGACAGCAGTGGCATTTGCTGACGCAAAAAAAAAAAAAAAACTCACCTCCCAACCAAAAAGATTTTCACGATTATTGCGTAACTTAGCTCAAAAGCTGAAAGAAGTTTAAAGGTCTAGCATTCTTTGATGGAACGCATCTTGGCTGCCACCATTCATGCCAGTTTTAAACAAGATACCAACTAATCATCTCTTGGGTTGAGAAGTGACAGAGTTTAGGGGAAATCTTGTGAAATGAATAGCACTTGGAGTATAAATTGCTTCTACAACAATAAATTTTGGCTCAATATTTAATACATTTTCTTTGTTGTACTTTGTAGACTGTTTTGTGTTTTTGAGTGTCTGAAAGTTTTTAACCCCATTAGTCACAACAGTGACCACAAAATGTATTTGTCTYTAGAGCTCCAAAAAGGCTACTGATAACTATTCAATCAATGTTCAGTAACTAAAGAAAGAATGGAATCAAATGTTTGGAGTAAACTATGACCAGAGCTGTTTACTTCTTGGTTGCACCATGATGAGAGGATAGCTGCCTCAAACCTCCCAAAGAAGAGGCAAGTAAGGTATTATAAAATAAACATAGGGCAAAGATTGTTGGTGCACATGATCTTTAAAGTGTCTGGTTTTGATATATTTTGGGGCAGCTGTGGTGTAGTGGTAGAGCAGCCGGTTTGGGACCCGAAAGTCACAGGTTTGACTCCCCACCATGCCCACATGTCGTGGTGTTCTTGAGCAAGACACCCAACCCCCAATTGCTCCCCAGGCGCCCACATAGCTGCCCACCAATCCACTTGGGTGTCTCTCACATGTGATGAGTCAAATGCAGATCACAAATTTCATCATTGTATGAAAATATACATTGATGACCAATAAAGTACCTTTATACTTTGTATTTACGAAAATTGATATGGCATGTGTTGAGAATGAGAAAACAGTGATTTGGATAGCACATTGTATTTTTTACATACATAACAAAAAATGTATCATTTCTTTGCTATGTCAAACTTTCTTCTTTTTTTCTTTTTTAACATTCACTTTGAGTGAGGTTCTTGATATGCTAGATTTAGGTGATGAGCCAGACAAGGCATCCAATGTGTGATAGATCAGATATGGACTWTGAAGGGGAGATAGGCCATTTGCCATCTCAGATTTTATGGAAAAAGATGACCACCTCCTACTTCACCAATCATGTAGCACTAATGAAATTTTATGGAAAGTATGAARATCAAATGGGGGTGTAACAATACATCCATCCAAATCAATATATCAGTTGAATGATTATTTATTCTATTACATCAAGGCAAAACAAAAACATCAAACTATATTGTCGTCATGCTTGGGTTGTGAAATGACTTGTTTGGATTTAAAGAGACAGTGCCAAAACTAGTTGATTTAAGACACACCTCAGAAAAGGGTTGAAAGAGGGGCTTGTGGAGTTACAATAAGGAATTCAGACCAAAGCATTGTAGTTCCATTTTACATAGACCCCAACTGAATGATTAAAAGGTGAAAAGCCCTAAGGGGTTTTCTTGAAGTTTGTGCTGTGTCTGGTGGATGTAGAAATGGTTTATAWGAGTTTTCAGCCAAGATTCTGACATATGAATACCACACACYTCTATGTTTAACTAAGAGAACTTAGGTTAATGAAGAAAAAAAGTGCAATTCTGCCCCCATCAACCGGGGTATTGGGCTTAAGAGGTTAAAAGCAGGATATGTCTCATTCAAAGCAAACCACAACCAGGCCAGTTGTGGCATACCATCTTAAAAACAGTGACATCATTAGTCTTGGCCCARATCTGGTTTACAAACCCCTTGCCATGCCAGAAGACAGCCAGCAAGATCAGCTCGAAAGATCTGGCCCACAACTTTTCTGTTATGTGGGTTAGCATTTAGAAATGTTAGTTGACAATAAGTCTCAGGTACTACCGCACTAAACTTTAGGTCAGTATCTGTAAAGTTTACTGAGTTATAATCATTTTTGTGTTTTTTTTAAAGTCCCTTGGCCACCATTGTGCTTTGCGTTGACTCTAATGGTTAATCCGTTTTTTTAAATCAGTTTTGTAAAAATGCATCCAGTCGTTCATAAGTTATTTTGGTCACACACGTACACATAGGTAAAAACATTATGGTCACCCTTTGCCCTCTGGTAGCAGGCAGTATTAWTACTGTAGCAACACTTCAATTTTAGCCAAATGTCAGCTGCACTTATTTAAAAACAATCAGCACTTATCAGAGCTGAATTCACTTCAGTACCATGTTCATAAGAGTAAACATAATCTTCAGGAGTATAACARACACACAGAGTTCCCTCAGTGACACAAGGGAGGCATTTGTCATAAACCTGCCAGGCGACGATAACTAACAGAGGCAGTTACCTCTGCTTTCCAGACAGGAGGGATAAAAGGACTTCTGAATGCATAATCCACTGCGGGTCATAAATCACAACAGGAGTTTAATGTATGGCAGCTACCGATGGGAACAACAAAGGTGCAGGCAGCTGGAGGCCCTGCAGAGGCTGGTTCAGGTGATAACAAGGGTCAGCGGCACACACATCAGAGGGAACAACTTGTTGAAAATGTGGCCTGAAAGGCAAAAAAGCGGGATGGTGATAAAGATGCTACTAAAACCACCTCACTCACCATACAGCATGGTTTCAAGCTTCTTCCTGTCAATCCTGAACCTCTCTTCCACCCACTCCGGATCTAAGCTCTGCCCCACAGCAGCCTTTCCTCCTTCCTTCTCTTCTTCCTCATCCTCCTTCTCCTCTCTGGGCTCAGGCTTTGCTGAGGAGACGAGTTCTCCGTCAGTTTCCGAATCGGGCTGCTGGGGTGCTGCGGTGGCTGAAGAGACTGGAGAGCTCTTCTCCATGATGTCTAAAGGCAGGACTGAGCCCCTGTCAGTGTTTGTGTGTGTGAGAGAAGAGTGTTTGTGCATGTGTGTGACCAAGGAGACCAACAGAGGGAGAAAACGGGGGAAAAAAATAAAAAGGGGGGCAAGAAACACCCCCTCCCTGTTCCTTTTCTTTAAAATCCCCCTCTGCCTCCTTACACTCAATTTAGTGCACAAGTCTTAGTCTTTCTTTCGTCCTTAAAAGCCGTTTGAGACTGGAAGGATTTGCTGCTTTGGATTTCAGGTTGCTTAAGATCAGTCACTTCTCCTCTCCATCCCAGTGACTCCAGAGAGACTGCAAGAATCAACAACTTGAGAGTGACTTTTCTTTGAACAAACCCCTCAGTAATCTTCAGTTCAACATCTACGGATGATCCGCAAAGAAACGTGAAGCGCCGTGAAGAGACGGGATAACACAGCCTAACAAATCACACACACACACACACACACACACACACACACACACACACACACACACACA